AAAAAAAAAAAAAAAAAGCTCCCAGCACTAGCTAATAATGGTCCTTGCTGTGACTTCCCCTCTCAAAGGACAGCTGCACCTCACCATAGGAACAATGAGGCAAGGCAGTAGAGATGAAAGAAATACTGTGCCTCACCCACATGGTCCCCAGGACATGGCATCATGTTATCCTCAGTGAAAAAGTCTCCCATGGAGGGACCTGCCAAAGACAGCATGGATGCCCTAGGGAGGCATCTTTTGCACAATGCATAAGACACAAACTGAGGGCCTCAGCCAGGCACATACAGGATGTAGGGAAAACTCAGGCCACAGCTGGAGAAAATGCTGCTCCCAAGTGACCACCAGCCACAGTGACACCCACTTCTGTGGGCTGCAAACTCCTTGGAAATTGTATGCTTGGGAAGACCCCAGAAAGAGCCAGGGGTTTGTCCTTGTCCTCTATTGGAGCCCTCCATGCCAGCCACTGTTCTCTATAGGAATATAGCAGCCTTCTTAGCTAACCTGGGACAGATGGAACCCACAGCCCCTTAGGGTGCATGTGCTGTTCTCTCACCCCTTCCCTCTTGGTTTTAGCAGCTGTCACTATGGCCCACAGCCCCACCCTGCCTGTCCCCCAACTGTCTATGAGCCCCACACTGTACTGTGTGCTCCTGGCTACATGACCAGCAAGTGAAGCTGCTAAGGGTAGGCAGGATCTGAGGCTGCTGTGTGCTGGTGACTGCACTCATAGTCACACATGTATGCCTCCATGTAGACATGACCCATAATTACAGTCACACATGTGTGCAAGCAGATACTGCCCGTGTACCCCAGCAGGCATGTCATTCCAGGAGTACCTGACATCTTCCTCATTCCTCCCAGGTTGCTTTAGACCCTGTTATTAGAGCCAGGAACCTTATAAGGCCCCACTCTGTGCCAGGACCATGCCCTGAGTGCCCCAAATCAAATTCCCTCTCCTGGGCCTGAGCAGGAAGGAATTTAGGGCCTGCCCCTGCCTAGTGTATATGCTTGTAACCCCAGAAAGCATCCTGGTGCCTGAGCCCAAAGCCAGGCTGTGTGGAGTTGGGAGCCAGCTCCAGACATACCCTCTCTGGAGTCCAGATCTGCAGTTGCAAACCACTCCATGGCACCTGGCAGACACTCGTGAAAGGGAACAGGTTGTCACCATCACAGCATCTAGCATAACATGGGACATACAGAATAGGCCAGTGGCCCAAGGGTAGGCATCAAAGCAATGTGGCATGTGCTTGTTACAAAGTCCAAGGAGGACTTTGGACTTTATTCTGCTGAAGACCAGGAACCAGGCCCGTGTAGGAGACAGGGAGAGCAAAGCTAGGACAAGGCAGGCTGATGGCCATCAGCATCTACAGCAACATCAGCCCTTGCTGCCAGAAAGCTCCCGCCAGCATTCACTCTCCATCCCACTCATGCTTGGAGGCAGGTTTCCGGCACCCATACTGCCCTATCTTACCACCCACTCAGGTAGTCTTGTGAGGGGGACAACAGGCATAAACAAGACCACTCCAGTCATCACTCTGACCCAGGCCAGTGGATAGGCAGGCACATGAACGGATGTGATGGGTGCGGTGCATTCCCAGGCTGTGAGCCTCACAGCCACCTCCCCGGGTCCTTGCCTGGCCCACTAGTGCTTAATCTCTTCAAGGTACCAATACAATATGCATAGACCCCAAAGGCATAAATAGCATCTTCCACCCACATCTGACTACCCCGGCTCTGCCCTTCCAGGCACTATGAGGCAGAGGATGCCAGCACTCAGCAAGACCCTGTCCACAAGGCACTCCCCTTCAAACACCTGCAGTCAGGCCACCTAAGCCAGCACATCCTACGAAGAGTCGAGTCTGGGCCTGTACGCCAGGCTGTAAGGCCTATGAGCTCCAGCCAGCCCATCTGGTTCTTGCTACCACATGCCCCATTCCAGTTCAGCCTTCCTTCTCTTGAACACACAGATGTCCTTGTCACTACCTTCAATGAGAGAACCCATGCCCCTGCACCATCGCCCACCAGCTGAGTCCCCAAGTAGAAGCATTGCTCCTTGTTGAGAGCACCCTTACCAGCAAGTCAGAGATAATGGCCACGTGCTGAACACTCTACACACACATGCTGCCGATGGACCCTATGACAGGTGAGGAGACTGAGGCTTAGAGGCTGAGATGTGATATAGTTTCATGTTGCCTCAGCCTGATTCCCAAGTCCAGAGTAGCAACAGTGGCCTGGCGCAGCCTGCCCCTGTAAATAGGCATGTGGCCCCACAGCAATCTAGGTGTCTGAGAAGGAACCATTTGAACAAGCTAGTTCCTTCCGTGGTCAGAAATAGAAATTTCATAACAACCAGGCTGGGTGCAGTGGCTCACACCTGTAATGCTAGTACTCTGGGAGGCCAAGCTCAGTGGATTGAGCTCACGAGTTTGAGACCAGCCTGAGAAAAAGTGAGAGCCCATCTCTACTAAAAATAGAAGAACTGGGGTGGTGCCCGTAGCTCATTGAGTAGGGTGAAGGCCACATACACGTAGCCTGGTGGGTTTGAACCCAGTATGGGCCAGCTAAAATAACAATGACAACTGCAACAACAAAAATAGCCGGGCATTATGGCAGGTGCCTGTAGTACCAGCTACTTGTGAGGCTGAGCCAAGAGAATTGCTTGAGCCCTAGAGTTTGAGGTTGCTGTGAGCTGTGACACCACAGCACTCTACCTGGGCCAACAGCTTGAGACTCTGTCTCAAAAATAAAGAAATAGAAAGAAAAAAAAAAAGGCAGCACCTATAGCTCAGTGGGTAGGATGCAGGCCACATACACCAAGGCTGGTGGTTCAAACCTAGCCTGGGCCAGCTAAAACAACAATGACAACTGCAACAAAAAAATAGCTGGGCATTGTAGCGGGTGCCTATAGTGCCAGCTACTTGGAAGGGTGAGGCAAGAGAATCGCTTAAGCCCAAGAGTTTGAGGCTGCTGTGAACTGTGATGCCACAGCACTCTACCAAGGAGGACATAGTAAGACTCTGTCTCAAAAAAAGAAAAAAAAAAAAAAACCAGCCAGCCCAGGTGTCCCAGCAGCAGCAGCAGCACATCAGACCAAAACAAAGGGCAAGCTTCCTATGAGCAGAAATCCCCTATTTCAAGGGTGTTAAGTAGTGGGCTGGGACTTTCCCAGGTTTGGCTGTTACCTGATCAAGAACCAACCTTCCCTCCTCAGAACACCAGGCATGCCCCTTTCTCAGCACGAAGTAGCTCTGATACACAGTCACTCCGTCTACTGGTTCCTCACTGAGCTGCTCCAAACTTGCAAGCAGATGCCCTCAGGATCATCTACGGGGTGGAAACGGGGCTCTCCCCAACAGCCTCTCCCCATCTCACTCTGTTGTCCAGGTTAGAGTGCCATGGCCTCCACCTAGTTCATAACAACCTCAAACTCCTGGGCTCAAGCAATCCTCTTGCCTCAGCCTCCCAAAGTAGCTAGAACTACAGAAGTTCACCATAATACTCAGCTAATTTTTCTATTTTCAGTAGAGATGGGGTCTCACTCTTGCTTAGGCTGGTCCCGAACTCCTAAGGTCAAGCAATCCACCACCTCGGCCTCCCATGCTAGGATTACGGGTGTGAGCCACTGTGCCTAGCCTGCTCTTACAGGATTTACCGTTTGTGACTAAATATTAATCAATCACTGTCCAACTCCCTGGCCAGTCTGTAAGGGCAGAGACCACATCTATCTTGTCACCAATGGATTCTTGTGACTAGGAAGAAGGTCCTCATTAGGCCCAGTGACAGTTTGAGGTCAGAGTTCTCCTCATCCAAGGCCACAAGGCCAGGAAGTAGCTACACCATGCCTAAACCCAGCCATGTGGCCAGTCCCAGGAAGGGAGGCCAAGCGCAAACCCTGCTGGGCCGGGTCAGGTCAGGGTTACTGTGCAACCAGATGGTCCCACTATATAGCCAAAACCCCAGGCTTACCCAGGATCCAGCCTGGGCTCACATCAGCTTCAAGGGGCTGCACTGCAACTAATCAAGACAGGTAGGCTGTCAGGCAAACAGCCCTTTGCTGCCAACAAGAAAGATAGACCCAGAGCTGGGGCACACTCTCACACCTGAGATTTGATCTTATTTGTCTCTCCTACTGGGAAAGAAGATGTCCCTGGCATCTGGAACCACACCACACCATCTCTATCCTATCTCCCATCCTGGGCAGGAGCCCTCTGCCCACAGGTCCCTTCCTAGGGAGCCCCACAGCCTCCACTGCTACAGGAGGACTTGGGCCTGGACTATAGATCATGGTGCGACAGACCAAGGGGAAACATACAAAGGGTGCACATGGTAAGTGTCCCATTAACCCTTACTTACTACCTACAGTCCTACTTACCTCCCCATACCTCTCCCATCACAAGGTGGGGAGTCCAGATGCCCCTCCACCCCCGCCTCCCTCATGCTGCTCCCTTCAAGCTGGCTCTGCCAATTCTCTGCTGAACCTCCCTGGGCTTCAGCTCTTCCATCTGCAAAGTGGGAGTGGGTTGATCTAAATCACTACTTTCAACATCAGCCTGGGGAAAAGGAACGAGCTGGTTAAAAATGCAAGTTGCTGAGCCCATTCCAGACCTACTGACTCAGAACTCCTATGGCCCGGACCTGGAAAATGGCACCTTCAACAAGCACACCTCCCCCTCAAGGTGACATCAGGTCAGTCTGGGAAACACTGGCTTAAATGGCAGGAAGCAACACCCTTGATCCCCAGGCAAAACTAGCTTTAAACAGTTTGATGAGGAGAGGGTTCTCCCAGGTCTGAGGCAGAGGCTCTCCTCGGGAAGGGAAGAATGCAAGATCTAGTCACAAAGGCCTGCCACTGTGCAGCTGCCAGACCCCAGGATAGCGCCTGGAGCCCTCTGGGCCTCAGCTTGCCCATTTGTGAAATAAGAGGGACACCGGGACCGGCAGAAGGCGGTGGCAAGGTTTCCACGAGGCCAGCAAGCAGCGAGGCGCCCGGAACAGGAGGCAGACCACGCGCTCTGCGGGCGTCCCCTGGCGTTATCATGGGAGTCTTGTCCCCCACACCTTACTCCTCCAGGGCCCGCCACTCTCCAGGATGGGGGAGGGAGCGAGAGCCAAGGCAAGCCCCTGCCATGCAGCGTGCCACCAAACAAGTCACTTGGCCTCTGGGCCTCAGTTTCTCCATCTGCAAATCCAGGCACACTCGACTTGGGGATCTGGTCTGGAGTGTCCATGGCCTCACGGGACGGGAAGTCCACGAATCTGAGATCACCTAGCCTCGACCCCCGTGCGCCACCTGTGCAAGGCGCCACCTCCTGCCCCGGACTCAGTTTCCTACGCTGGAGAACGGGATTCACGCCTGTACCGCTGGGCTCTCGCAGAGTGACCTTGGGCAGACGCTACCTCGGGCCTCAGTTTCCCCGTCAGCTCGCACGGAGAGGCGGGCGCCCGCGACCCCCACCCAGCCTTGTCTGAGGCCTGCGGGAATAGGCCCCGCCGCTGCCCCCGGCCTGGGCCTCACCGGCAGGCGTGGAACAATCTCGACCGAGCAGCAGTGACAGAAGTATCGTCCGGGCTGTGGCGACGCCTCGGCCATGGCCACCGCCGCCTCCTCCGCTCTGCCCGCCCCCCGCGCGGCGTCCGCCGCTGGCCGTTTGCTACTCCCTCGCCGGCCGACGCGCACGCTCACGCACGGCACGCACGGTATGGGGCGGAGAGGGACGCGCAGGGGCTACGCAGGAGGCGCGCGCGCGGCAGGCAGCAAGCGTGGTTAACGGTGGCCGCTGAGGAGCAAACTAGTTACGGCTGTTGGTCTGGGTGCCGAGCTTGGGGCGGGGCCAGATTTGAAGGCTGTAGAGACGTCTGAGGGGCGGGGCCTGAGCGAAATGGGGCCGAATCTCCTTGGTAACCTGGATCCGGCTCTGGGTGGGGCCCTGTTTTGAGGAGGATGCGGAAGAGGCCAAGGGGCGGGGCCTGAGCGGGGCAGGGCCTAGTCTCCTTGACAACCTAGATCCGGCGCGGGGGCGGGGATCTTCTTCTCCCAAAACTGCAAAGGCCCTCACTTCGCTCACTTGCCTTACCCTTTCTCTTACCATTCTCACCTTTGTGTTTCAGCCCACTTTAAACAGTTTGATGAGGAGGACTCTCCTAGGTCTGAGGCAGGAGCTCTCTTCGGAAAGGGAAGAATGCAAGATCTAATCACAAGGGCTTTCCACTGTGCCGCTGCTGGACCCTAGGACAGCACCTGGAGCCCACTGGGCCTCATCCTGCCCACCTGTGAAACAAGAGGGACACTGGGACTGGCAGAATTGTTCCTGGGACTCGCCAAGCGCGCTGTCACTTCCTGGCCTTTGCACCTGCCCACTGCCAGGTGCACCATCCTCCCAGACACTTGTATAGGCTTTCTTCTCGTGTCTTTCAAATCTTTGCTCAAATGTCACCTTCTCACAAGGCCTTCTCTGAAGCCTTCTTGCTCAGGAGCACTTATTTCCACCTGATAAACCGTCAAATCCAGCTTCACAGCAGAAAGGATTTTTGTATCTTGTTCCTGGTTGGACCCACGACGGTGCCTGGCACACCGCAGGCACTCCAATAAAGCCTGTGGAGTGAATGCATATAGGAGACCAATTCTTAGATGGAAGGAGGACCCGTCACAACCTACATCGCAGTCCGTGCCTCAGAGTGATCCATGGGATAAGTGAGTCTGATGCTCGGTTTCGTGATGCTCTGGGATCTAATGGCCCAGGCGCCTTTGGGGTGAGGAGGGGCCAGGAAACCTAAACCCCCTTCCCTCAAAAGTCAATCATTAATCCTAGCCCTCTGGGAGGCCAAAGGATTGCTTGAGTTCAGGAGTTCAGACCAACCTGAGCAAGAGTGAGACTCTGTCTCTAAAAATAGCTAGACATATGATGAGTCCCAGTAGTCTGAGCTACTCTGGAGGCTGAGGCAAGAAATTCACTTGGACTCAAGAGTTTTAGGTTGCTGGCTGGGCACGGTGCCTCACACCTGTAATCCTAGCACTCTGGGAGGCCCAGGCGGGTGGATTGCTTGATCTCCTGAGTTGGAGACCTCACCTCTACTAAAAATAGAAAAAACTGGCTTGGTGTCCCTAGCTCAGTGGTTAGGGCATCAGCCACATACATGGGGGTTGGGAGTTTGTTTTTTTTGGTTTTTTTTTTTTTTTTTTTT